CTAACGATAGTAAGATATTTTACATGTAATGTATGATACTGCACTTCTTACTCAGAACATCAGACTGAGGTAGTAAAAGTATAAATTTCAGAGTAATTCAATAGCAAATGAATTAGGGCCAGATTTTAACATCAAACGGGATCTGGGCCATTTAAGGCCAGTCAGCAGGAGGAAACCTACACCAATATGCAAGGAAAGCAGAAACCGAACTGTGTGTAACCAGCATTAATGTGTTTTTCCATTTAAGTGATTACATCAGTGAATGAGGACCTTCTTCTTACTGAACGTAAGTTTCCGTTAAATATGTGATGCATTGGGTCTTTAAACTTGTGGCTGTAAGAGCACTTGAAAAGTTTGAGAGCAAAAAGCCTACTTCCTGTTTGGCAGTTTCACGATCTAATTTTATCATTTCATAGTGACAACCGTTAATTGGCAGCAGGAAGCCGAATACGAAGGGCTGGGCTCTCCTGATCGTAAGCTATTTATCATGCAGATGGAGAACACACTGAGACAGGCACACACACACACACACACACACAGCACAGTCCTATACAAAATGGGGAATGACAAAAATGACAGAAAAAGTTTGAGAACCACTGCTGTGGTGTCACTCGTTTAGGTCTGTTAGTTGGACCTGGGTGATGCTGTTCTTTGTGTAACGGGCCTTTTTCTGTATTTCCTAGTGCCACAAGATGATTGGCAGCAAGACACACCCAGTGACGAAGGGATGTGCTCTCCTGAATGTAAGTTAATTAACACGCAGACAGAACAGAGTCTGTAAAACAACTTTGTAAGCAATTAAAATTGCCTATTCATCAGGTACTCCTGAGTAAGTCCTACAATGTGTTGAAGCAACATTCTGTCACTATTCAACCCATATGTGGTGTCTGTATTTATATCAGTTGTTCTCGATATTTATATACTGTCCTCACACTATTCTCAACCAAATGTCTTTTAAGGTTTTTTTTTGTAATATGCTCTGACTGTTCTGAATTGTCTTTATAGAAACAATCAAACGAAGATATAAACTTTTGTGCTACTGTCTTATTTCCCCCCCCTGTTTAGGTACTGTGTTAAGAAATCCTGCCCAACAAAATTCCACTGAGGCTGACGTAGAGATGAGCGTGAGAAACTGGCTGCGGCTGAGCAGGGACAGGAATGGGGGGCTGCAAAGGCGGGGCGAGCTAGCATCTTAAGTGAAATAATTGATTGGACTGATTTTTCTTTTAAACTGACTAACTATTTTGGCGGGAATTTCTTATTTTTGTTGTAGTTTTCTATGTGCAGGCCTGATAGCGATCCGGCGTACAGACGTGCCTGCGGGAAAAAAAAATCAGGTTCGCGTGATCTGACAATTCCAGACCTGCCAAGTGCCAACCTGTACGCGTTTTGCGTAGCGGGTATGCATTTTGACCTCAAAGTAGGCTGGTACGATTTGTCCTCAAATCAAGCAACAGCAAAAGAAGAAGAGTTCGACCAATCATAGCGCTGGGTTAATTCCCCAAATAGCAAGCGGGGATGATTGACAGATGTGTAAGGCCTATCATTAAAAAGAGAATGAAAATCGGCAGCAATAAAGAATCCCGCTCGATCCCGCTTCCACTCCCGCGGCCGCCGTCTGACTGAGTTCATAAGCGAGGACAGTAGTCACAGTACTTCTGACTCCTGAAGGTGAACGGGCAGGGATAGATGTGGAAAGTTGAAATATTGTTTTTAGTTAACTTATACTGGATTCGATGATCACACGGGAGTGATCGCATGGATTATCTTAAAATACTCCGTCATTCATGGTCACTCAGATAAGAGGAAAACATTATTCAGCCATGCAAATTATAAAATGCTTAAGTATTGATGAACAATAAATCTAAATAAAATTAAAATCGCTATGGCTTAGTGCAGGGGTGCCCAATCCTGCTCCTGCCGATCGACTGTCCTGCACAGTTCATCTCCAACCCTAATCAAACACACCTGCCTTTAATTTTCAAGTGATTCTGAAGACCTTAATTGGTTGCTTCAGGTGTGTTTGATTAGGGTTGGAGATAAACTGTGCAGGACAGTCGATCGGCAGGAGCAGGATTGGGCACCCCTGGTTAGTGATTATGAAAGTGCTGTGATTTGTGAATGACTGATAAGCATGAGTCTGGAGAAACAGTCTTTTATTTATTCATTCTCAGTGTTGAGATACGTAGCCTGCATGTGTTACGTTATTGTGTTAATAATTAAAGTACCTAATTATGTTACATAATTATTTTGTATGAAAACTAGCGCATTAGTTACTTTTGGATTAAAAAAGTACCGGTGTATCAGTGCAGCGCTCTCTTCTCTCTCACAAACACAGATAGAAAGAAGATAATTATAAATTGTAAATTGACGGGCTAAGTTTAAATTTTGTTCTTGGTTGTGTTTTTTTCTGTCAAAATGTCAGAAAGCATTTTGTATTACCTCCGTGAAGTTGGCACCCCATAAAACGAAATAATCTCCAAAACTATGCCATTGGTTTGTGCTGCGTTTGTGCTGATTTGTGCCGTTAAAATGAACATTTGTGCTGGTTTGGAGTTTGAGATATTGAACATTATTTTTTTGGTTGTGTTACGTCACTCTCCACCCCATGTCGTTCAAATCGCTCCAAACCGGTGTCATTCGTTTGTGCTCGGTTTGTGCTGGTTTGTGCCGTTAAAACAAACATTGTATCTATTTTCCTTTCGCAGATATAGCTAATTTAATTCGGGAGCTGTGACGTCACTCTCCACCCCATTTCTTCTAAATCGCACACAAACTGTGTCGTTCGTTTGTGCTTGGTTTGTGCCGATTTGTGCCGTTAATATTAACACGGTATCTATATCTCCTCCTTTAGAAATAACAAATATAATTCGGGGCAGTGACGTCACTCTCCACCCCACCTCATCTAAATCGCACCAAACCGGTGTCGTTTGTTTGTGCTCGATTTGTGCCGGTTTGTGCCGTTGAAAGAAACATTGCAACTACGATCCCCTCTTAAAGGTTCTCTAAGCGATCCTGGGTGACGTCACTTCTTGTTGACGTTCGAACTATTGTCAAACAAAACGGAGGCTATAGCTAGACCCTCCCTCCTCCTCATCCGCACACTAACCCCCCAAACCACACCCCCAAACCCTTCTTGTCGGTCATTGGCTGGAACAGTTTGTTATGTTTTGGGGAGCGGGTCGCTGCAGTTTGTTTTTGGTGCTGTTTGTGAAGCATGGGCTGTCTACAGAGATCGCGTTTCTTTACAGTGTGTTCAGGGGACAGGCAGCCAGCGGATAGTGAGGAGATGTTTGCTGTATGTGACAAAAAATGTTTTGGCCTAAAAAACACATGACATCGCTTAGAGCACCTTTAAACATAAAAAAAATGAACTTTTTAAGCACAGTTACATAACAGTCCACCACATGCCGTCCAAATCGCCCCAAAACTGTGCCTTTTGTTTGTGCTCGATTTGTGCCGGTTTGTGCCGTAGAAAGAACCATAATAAATTATTCCATTCTTCAGACATCACAAAATCTTTGGAAGAGTAGTGATGAGTGACGTCACGCAAGCAAGCCGCGCTCTTCATCAGTCTACAAACCTGTCTGGTGCGTTTGTGCTCGCACCAGTCTATGGCTCGCACAGGGCCGCGGCTGCTGTCATTGTTCTTTTCTTCTTTAGATACGGAAATGTTTTAGTCTAGATTTGTGCTAGATATTGACATTTGGTCTTTATAAAATCACCAATGCACCATATGTAATACTGTCAATACTGATGCTTTAACTTTGTCCAATAAAAACAAATAATAATAAAAAAAAGTTGTGTATTGTCTTAAGTTTTCTGAATACTGAAGGCTTCAGTTTACAGACATTTAAAGTCTCTCTGCCCCCTTAAAAACATTTGTTTACCCTAAGCACTGCATAGTGGGAAAACAAAGCAGGAAAAGGCATCTGGCTGTGAAAAAGGTAAGCATGTGCTCTGAGATAAAATACAAAAAAAAGTACTAAAATCATGTGTGCAGGTCAATACAATTTACAGGATAATTTGAACAAATAAGAAATTGACAGACACGTCAAAGATGTGAACCTTTTTTATTAATTTTGGGCAATCAGGTAAATGTATCATGTCCAAATGATCCTCCATTTGTCATATTAATAAGAGTAGACCTATGACATTCTTATGCCATGCCATAAAATTGTGGCATTCTTATGCCATGCCATGCCATAAAATTGCTTTTTTGTAATTTATAAATTACAAAAAAGCAATAAACAAGTGGCATATCTGTTCCATTTAATCCTCTGTGAAGTCATATAATTAACTTTACATTGTGAACAGACTAAAATTTTACTAATTCACAGAAAAGATTGTCACCCATCCTGTACTGGCCAGTTATTCAGTTATCAGCTACTTTTCATAAAACTGGAGAATGTGTTATCTTTTCAAGCTCTTTTGTAATGAATTAGTTGATTTAGTTCACAAAAGGATTCTTAGTAAATATTTTTCTGAACTCATTGACTTGGTTATCCATGTCACTGGAATTAAAGAGTAACAGAAAACAATGACTTTGAGATGAGATTTTTACTGAAATATTGAAAATTCAGTCTGTTCTTTAAAGCCACCAAATGATGGATTTTCTAGTCATAAAAAAAATAGCAATATCTAAACACGGCCAATATATATGGATGACAAGATTTTCCGAGGTAAATCTAATTGAATGATCTCCGGCTTGGAACAATTGGACTATAGTACATATAAGTTCCATAGCCCAGACACTTTTATTTCAGCCATCATTTACTTGAACTGATTTGGAAAAAAATATGCAGTTTAAGTGAATGGCGATTAAGTCACTCCCTATCCTTTTGCCCAACATCTCGATTCCATGGAAGAAAGTAATAAAATAATTATACTCGTTACCAACAGGTTACATGCTTATTCAAAGCACAGTAATATATATATATATATATATATATATATAACCGTGGTATGAATAAGCATGTAACCTGTTGGTAACAAGTTAGTTAATGTGGCCCAACTACTTTATTAAAAACTACATTAAAAATAATTCCTGTTTTGATCAGATGCCTAGGAAACCAGCCTGTGGACGTGATGACATCATCAAAGTCATCAGTGCTGCAAAGGAACAGATTATTACAGGAACAAACATAGCAGTTCCCACAGAAAAGGTGTGGGCAGATTTAAGCAAACAACTAAATAACAAAGTTTCACCAAAGAACCTTTATACTATTGTGAAGACAAATAGGCACAATATATGGCAAATCCTTGAGCTATGCAAAATCGACACAGATACCCAAGATCAAGGTCCAAACAGTGACAGCTCACAAGAAAGCTCAGCAGATTTTCATTCAGCAGTGTCAAAGGCAGACAAAAATCAGCAAAGTCAATGCTACGACATTACATTTGAGATCAGTCTTTCTCATCAGAGATGGGTAGAAATCTGGCCTGAAAAGGTTGATTACAATGACAAAAGAGAATACACCATCCTGAAACGTGGTGCATGGACAGACGTCTTGTACGAGGAGATATGGAAAAATATCAAGACCTCATGCACTCTTAGATTCAGAAGGGCAAAAAATTTTCCAAATAATGCATCTCACTACATAGACATAATTGGGAACTGCACAGAGTGTGACGCACAATTGTCTATAACAGCAGAGAACATGCCAGTGGATAATAAACCAGTTGTGCTTCAATGTATAATCCGCAATGTTGATGACAGTCTCCATACTGGCAAAGCAAAACGGAAGTTATCAGGGGATCTGAGAACACGTGTGTCTAAAGAACTCTGGGAAGGCCGAAAACCAGCACATGTATGGCGAGCAGCTGAGGCTTACAAAATGATGGATGTTGGTGACCCAGAGCCTAGCCACCTGCCAAATCTGGCAACATTAAGAAAAGCCAAACAAGAGATGGGTGACAAAGAGCTTGGAGACAAAGACCCAATCATGTCATTGCATCTACTAAAATACAGTGTACCCCACAATGGAAGCATTCATGACATAGGCCTTGATAAGTTTTTTTGCCATTACTGGACCCCATCTCAGATGCAAGTGTATCAAACGAAATCCAAGTACTCTGGCTCATTTGTGAGTTTTGATGCAACAGGTACAGTTGTGAAAAGACTGAGAAGACCCTGTGGTAATTCTGGACATGTCTTCCTGTATCAAGGAGTTTTGTGTTCACAGGGAGATCATATTCCAGTAGTGCAAATGCTATCAGAGAGCCACACCATCAATTCTATTGCCAACTGGCTCACGGAATGGCAACGAGCAGGTGCTGCTGTGCCCAAAGAGGCGGTCTGTGATTTCTCCTTGGCTTTGCTTGGAGCACTGGTTAAGGCCTTCACTCCTTACCCAGACCTGAAAACATACATCAATCAGTGCTTTGGAGTGCTGGCAAGGAAGCCAGAAGACTCAAAGCTACCACCTTGCTTCATCAGAGTAGATGTTGCACACTGCATCAAGCTCATTAGCCTGTGGGAATGCCTAAGACAAAGAGGAAACAGAGTTAGAGAATTCTATCTACGAGCCATGGCACAACTTTTACAGTCTGATACACTGGAAGATGCAAGAGAGCTCATCCATTCCATTGCAGTTGTTGCCTTCAGTGAATCAGAAGGAAACGATGACAAAGGTTTACCTGTTGTCTCGGAAACATGCAAAGCACAATTGAAGAGACGATTTGCAGAGGGGGTCTTGCCATGTGTCACTGAAGATGACCATTTAACAGAGGTGACCGGAGTCGAGGAGACACTCGCCACAGATCTAAAAACATGGGTTACAGAAATCTGTGAAGAAAGTAAGATGATTGCAGCACATCATGGTGACAGAGACAATCTTCATTTCCTTCCAGAGCTTGTCCCAAATATAATAAGAATGGCATGCTACCTACCCCTTTGGACAGCTGTGATGGTTCCACACTTCAAAAGCGTACACAACACAGCAAGCTCTGCAAATGTTGAGGCTGAATTTAAAAACATAAAACATGGCCTTTTCAAACATGAAAGCCTCCCCATCCGAATTGACCGTTTTGTCATACGCCACCTTGAGTTTCTTGAGGGAAACATGAGGCTTTCATCTGCACCGCTAAAGACAGAGCACATTGAGACAAAGAATCAGAAGACAAAAACTACCCATAGTGAGCAGGACACAGAGGTTAAGCAACAATTAGTGGAGGAAGACCCTGTTGAAAACTGGAAAGGCCTCGGTGTTCCTCCAAAAAAGCGACTGTCCTACCTGACCCCTTGCTCTGAGTGGTTGCATGCAGACATAAACCTGAAAAGAAAAAAGACAAAAATTAATGTCTTGAAAAATGGCAACTACCAGGCTAAAAAGCCCATCTTGGTTGACAAAATGCTTGTAAGTGTAAATAATACCTGCGCCTTTGATTCCTTTTGCCAGTGCCTTTGCTCTGCATTCTGTGACAGCGGATCATTCTGTCATTATCTCGACAAAGAGCACTCAAAAACTGAAATGTTTGATTTGGTAAAGACCATAGTCACAAAAGGAGTTGGAAAAGATGCTTACGCAAAGAGGGCAAAAATGCTGTTGGATACATTTCAGTGTGTTCACCTAAAATCAGGTGTGAGGCAGGTCAATGCGGATTGCAATGTTGCTAACATTGTTGCATCAACAATGAAGCAAATGCCAAGTGCAACACTGACAGCTGAGTGCTCTTCTCCATACTGCAGCCGAAATACTAAATCTTCAAGGACCATCTATCTCCTACCAGTCAACGTAGATATTCTACAAACTGGTGGTCTGAAAAGCCTCCAAGCAGCACTGGAAGATGGGCTACACCTCAACAGGTCCAAGTGTCTGAAGCCACTGAAATCACCCCAAGAGTGTCCAGATAGCTGGAAAATTAAGGATAATCCATCAATGGAATTCCTCTGCAATGGCTCTGTCACACACAGATGCATACCTGGACAACTACTGTGCATTGAAACAAGTGATACTAATCATCCACTGTCTGAAATCCCTGTCGACATGGAGCTGGACAATCAGCGGTTCACTTTGCGAGGGGTTGTTGCATTCATTCCAGGTCCAACAAGGAAATCTCTTGGACATTACGTGGCTTACTGCAGAAGAAACTCTTTTGCCTGGGAGAAATATGATGACCTGTGTGACCATGTAAAAACAGTCTCAGCAAAAACCAAAATACAACCCCATGTCATGTTGTTCACAAAGGAGGACTAAAATCTTTGATTAATGAATTTCTTGGACTGGTCTCTGCAGAAATTAGTTCATAATCAATAAGAGAATGGTCTAAATTGTTTTTCTATTGTAGTTAATCTATATTATCTCTATTCACTGTATGCCTGTTTTAACAGTTCCATGATTTTTTTAACAGAAGTTCTATTTTCCTTTAGTAAATGTTCTGTTCTGTTATTTATACCCAGATCTATTAATTTTAACACTTCTCTTACATTAAGTCAAAACATTTTTGGAGGTCTCTTATTTTTTGGTTCTTTAAAACAATATTTGTAAATTCTCCACAGAAATTGCTTATTTTTACATTCATCTTTGCATTTAAAAGGAAACAAGTTTAGATATGTTGTCTGTTCAGCTGAGAGAGAGTGAGAAAAACTTTAACCAGGTGGTTTGCTGGTATTAAATGAATACTCTTCACCCAACAATGAATAAAATCTCTATGACTTTCTTTGTTTAGTATGAAATGACAGGGAAGATGTTAAACCAGCTAAGAACAGCAAACTAACAAGTAACAGTCCTCGATTAGTTGCTTTAAAAACATTTTAAACAAACAGAAGCACTGCTCACCTGTCCTTGGTTCACTTTCTCTTTCAGAGAAAGATAAAATGCTCTTTGAGAAATGAGAAATATTTTATCATCTGCAATATAGGCCTAGGCCTAGATAAGGCCAAGGCCAAGATAATAGCCAACACGTTTAAAACAAGCCTAAACTTCCATCTGATTATAAATTAAGCTCGATTTGAATAAAAAACATAATAGGCTAACAAAGGAGATTATTGCTACAAAGTTTTCAAAAAGCTGACACACAACGTGCATTTTTAAACAAGTGATACGCGTCAATCAATCACATAGGCCTACCGGTTTTTTATTATCTTGAGCTTGATGAAGTCACTGGCAATAAAACATTTCCGTATCTAAAGAAGAAAAGAACAATGACAGCAGCCGCGGCCCTGTGCGAGCCATAGACTGGTGCGAGCACAAACGCACCAGACAGGTTTGTAGACTGATGAAGAGCGCGGCTTGCTTGCGTGACGTCACTCATCACTACTCTTCCAAAGATTTTGTGATGTCTGAAGAATGGAATAATTTATTATGGTTCTTTCTACGGCACAAACCGGCACAAATCGAGCACAAACAAAAGGCACAGTTTTGGGGCGATTTGGACGGCATGTGGTGGACTGTTATGTAACTGTGCTTAAAAAGTTCATTTTTTTTTATGTTTAAGAGGGGATCGTAGTTGCAATGTTTCTTTCAACGGCACAAACCGGCACAAATCGAGCACAAACAAACAACACCGGTTTGGTGCGATTTAGATGAGGTGGGGTGGAGAGTGACGTCACTGCCCCGAATTATATTTGTTATTTCTAAAGGAGGAGATATAGATACCGTGTTAATATTAACGGCACAAATCGGCACAAACCAAGCACAAACGAAACAACACAGTTTGTGTGCGATTTAGAAGAAATGGGGTGGAGAGTGACGTCACAGCTCCCGAATTAAATTAGCTATATCTGCGAAAGGAAAATAGATACAATGTTTGTTTTAACGGCACAAACCAGCACAAACCGAGCACAAACGAATGACACCGGTTTGGAGCGATTTGAACGACATGGGGTGGAGAGTGACGTAACACAACCCAAAAAATTATGTTCAATATCTCAAACTCCAAACCAGCACAAATGTTCATTTTAACGGCACAAATCAGCACAAACGCAGCACAAACCAATGGCATAGTTTTGGAGATTATTTCGTTTTATGGGGTGCCAACTTCACGGAGGTGTCGGAGGAGGCTGTCCCTGAGATCGTGTCGGAGGAGGCTGTCCCTGAGATCGTGTCGGAGGAGGCTGTCCCTGAGATCGTGTCGGAGGAGGCTGTCCCTGAGATCGTGTCGGAGGAGGCTTTCCCTGAGATCGTGTCGGAGGAGGCTGTCCCTGAGATCGTGTCGGAGGAGGCTGTCCCTGAGATCGTGTCGGAGGAGGCTGTCCCTGAGATCGTGTCGGAGGAGGCTGTCCCTGAGATCGTGTCGGAGGAGGCTGTCCCTGAGATCGTGTCGGAGGAGGCTGTCCCTGAGATCGTGTCGGAGGAGGCTGTCCCTGAGATCGTGTCGGAGGAGGCTGTCCCTGAGATCGTGTCGGAGGAGGCTGTCCCTGAGATCGTGTCGGAGGAGGCTGTCCCTGAGATCGTGTCGGAGGAGGCTGTCCCTGAGATCGTGTCGGAGGAGGCTGTCCCTGAGATCGTGTCGGAGGAGGCTGTCCCTGAGATCGTGTCGGAGGAGGCTTTCCCTGAGATCGTGTCGCAGGAGGCTGTCCCTGAGATCGTGTCGGAGGAGGCTGTCCCTGAGATCGTGTCGGAGGAGGCTGTCCCTGAGATCGTGTCGGAGGAGGCTGTCCCTGAGATCGTGTCGGAGGAGGCTGTCCCTGAGATCGTGTCGGAGGAGGCTGTCCCTGAGATCGTGTCGGAGGAGGCTTTCCCTGAGATCGTGTCGGAGGACGCTCCAGAGTCTGTTCCTGAGCAAGTCAGTGCTGACCAGGAGGGTGAACTGGATTCAGTCACTGAGCATGCTGTGGAGGGCGTTCCTGAGTCTACCCCTGAACTGTCTGCTCCACCATGGTTGCCTGCACAGCTGGCTCCATTGATCTGGCCCTCCCACCTCCCCCAAGAACGCTTTCGCGTCACCACCACCCTGGACTATTCTGGGGAACGTCTGGAATACGTTCCTTAAGTGGGGGGGGGAAATGTCATTAGTCTGTTCTGTGTTTCTGTCTTGGTTCATGTTTTGCTTCTCCTCGTTATGTTTATTAGTTACCCAGGTGTTTCCATTTAGCCACACCCTCTTGTTACCTCGTTATCTTGTTTAGCTTGTCTGTCCTTGTATTTAAGCCTGTGTGTTTGGTTCAGTCTTGGTCAGTGCTTAATGTTTGTCGGTTGAGTGTTTGTCCTGTTCCTGAGCCTGAGCCTGAGCCTGAGCCTTGTTCCTGAGTTTATGTTTGTGTAGTTTTAGTTTGTGTTAATAAAAGATGCTGCAAATAGATCCAACGCCTTTGTCTGCTTCAACCGACCGTGACAAGTACGGTACAGCAAAAAGAAAGAAATGCCAGAGAAATTTTCTTGATTTAATTTTTTTTATTATATTTTTATTAAAACTAACATCATAAAGTATGATATTTCTTTACTTTGAGCAATGATGGAGCTATACTAAACTTTTCTTAGGAATATATAAAACAAAACAGCTCCTTGGACAAAATGAAATGTAATATTGTAGTAGTTATAAACAAAGGTTTATTTTAGTTCAGATTAACATTTGAGGGCAGCAATTGTATTCATAATGTCAAAATAATACCGACGTGATGTTACTTGAAAGCGTTATAGCCTACTATTCCTGCCACACTCCCATGGTTACAGTTAGTAGTGTTACTACAGTTAGTAGTGTTACTACAGTTAGTAGTGTTACTACAGTAAACCCATGGTGAATGTTGCTGATCTGTGGACACTGGATAGTTCATTCATGGCACAATGTTTCTCCTGGTTTCCATGTCAGCACTGTTTGATCCGTTAATAACGGAGAAATGTGAATGTTTCTCACTAGATCTCGCAGCGATGTTATTACTTCAGTGGTGAATTCAAATGTTTTCTTTACTGGATCTCGCTGTGTAGTAACAGTGCTTGATCAAGATCGGCTCGCACTGCATTGGTCCAAACTGATAAACGGTCCGTCAACCACACAATAACGAGCAGCTCAGTTTCGTTCCGCTTACATTACATTTGCCATTTGATGTTGGGCAATGTTGTGGTCACGCAAGCGTCTCTACATCATGAGCGCACTTGCCACGCGCAACGCGCCTACATTTGAAATAACAAAATTTTGCTCGGCAGGAAAAATGGTCCAACGAACCGTTCGATTTAAAAATGCGTACCGAAAACCAAACCGAAAGCCTCGTACCGAACGGTTCAATACGAATACGTGTATCGTTACACCCCTAATATATATATATATATATATATATATATATATATATATATATATATTAATATCTATGTTTAAATAACAAAATATTAACAGTTCATTATGATAATTCAACAGGAATATGGAAATGGCCTGAACACCCACTAACAATCACATTTACTAATGCTGCCATCATGTGCTGTCGGAAATATCCTATTTCTGACTCCTTATGTCATGATTATGAGTTTGACATGTTGATGTGTTTTGTTGTCCAGAAAAATAGGATTTTTGATAGAAGGCAGGGTGATTCACACAGAGCCCCTAAATGGACGTGGTGGTGAAAATAAAGTAGGATGGGAGAAAAAGAAATTCTCAAAAATGTTGCATTTCCTCGCAAAAATTTTGCATTTCCTCCTGTTGTGAGCTCACACAGACACTTGCTGTTTAATGTCCCGCTGGCAGTGTTTCAGAGATGTTTCAGGGGACAATCTGCAACAGATGATGGAAGTGGTAACAATCGAAATGAATATATTAAAACTTTGGTTCGATTCGAATAAGTTATCCCTCAACTTTAACAAAACTAAATTTATGGTATTTGGGAATCGTAATACAAATACAGATGTTAGACTGGTAACTGATAACCAAATAATACAAAGAGTTTATGAATGTAAATTTTTGGGTGTTGTACTTGACCATAAATTGTGCTGGAAGCCCCACATCAAAAATTTGTGCATGAAGATGGCCAGGATTATTGGTATATTGAGTAAAACCAGATACATATTGAACAAAAATACATTACATACTATTTACTGCACACTTATTTTGCCATATATGTTATACTGTGTGGAAGTGTGGGAAATACCTATTAAAGTAATTTACAAAATATTTGCACACTACAAAAAAGAGCAATCCGGATAATAAATCATACTGGGTATTATGAGCACACTAATCTTTTGTTTTTTAATTCACATTTGTTAAAATTTATGGACATTGTTACATTTAAAACTGCTCAATTTATGTTTAAAGTCAAAGAAAATAATTTACCAGGTAACATAAGTGCAATGTTTAATGAAAGAGATGGGGGATATCATCTAAGAGGATATTGTATGTTCAAGCAACCTCTTGTACGAACTGCTATTAAAAACATGTGTATATCAGTTTGTGGGGTAACCATATGGAATGGACTGGATAATGACATCAAACAGAGCCATAATATCATTCGGTTCAAAAGTAGATTAAAGAAATCATTATTGGACCAATATAG